ACAACTGCGAAGCAGTGACTCCACACAGTGCAAGAATGGATTTCACTTCACCGTGCGTGGTTCTATGGCCTATAGGGTTTCTTGGGTGAGTAGTAGTCGCTTGCAACAAAGTACTGGTAAGTAGCCAGGCATCCGAAAAAAAGCAAAGCAGAAGCCAGTTTGTCACATTGTCTATCTTCAAATTATGCATGTCAATGTGGTATGCTAGCGTATAATATATTATATATAGCGTTCCTGTTCTTCCTCCTGTTCCCTTCTTCAGCCATCATGGCCATCCAATTTGGAATGTGCCCACATCTCCTGTTGGGGGCTGTGTTTGGTATTGGCACAAGAAGTTCTTCACCGGTTAGAATCAAACACACCACCACTCAACTTAACCAGGTCAGCATAAGCACCCCGAGCACATCCTGATGTTGATTCCATCGAAACACAGAACCACCAAATCTGGCATTCTGGCATTCTTCTGAACCCTAAAAAGGATGAAAATGACCTGCTCTACTAACCCCCAAATCACCTGTCCACCGAAAGTCCCCCGAAAGCGCCCAACAGCAGCTCCTCCGAAAGCACCTCGTCCACCGAAACCACGTTGAGGGCGAGCGCCACCGGCACCACGTCGGCGTCGCGCGACGGCGTCAGCGTCAGCGTTGCCGGCGTCAGCGTCTCCGGCTCCTGGGCGTCAGCTTGGCGTCCAATGGTATGAGGGTCAGGTTTTGGGGATATTCGGGATCCGTGAGACTCTCGTATCAACACGATCCCTATATACCTGTCCACAGTGTACTTTTGTTTTTTCCAGGAACAGCAAATTGTTCCAAAAACTGCACAAAAATCACAAGACATCACAAGGATCTTTCCACTTCCCACAGGCCTGGCCGCCATCCCAGTGACCGATGTCTTTGGATTCAGTCTTTTCTCCGGCGTGTCGCACGGGTCGAGCAAAAGCCGAAGCCTACTCTCCAACAGGTCACCAATTGAGGACCTCCTATATAGGACTTATAACAACCATCCAACTGGGAGACCTGCAGAGGGCTGGTGCTGGTCGTGTAGAAGGCGAATGGCCTCTCGGAAAATCGCCATGCAATGCCGGAGAGGAGACTCTAAAGGTCGAAGACTTGCACCGGTATCATAATGTATTAAGTTATTATACTAATGAAGAGATATCAACCAGCAGTCACAAGACGGGGTGCTATCCATGGAGGTAGTCGGGGTGCCTAGAACATCCACTCACTGGATGGGACGAGCCACACCACGTCGTCTTGTGACTCCTGGAAGAGTATTCAAGAGTACCTTCTTGTGGAAACATGTCCATGTCAAACCCAAATTTCTTCCGAGGTTGCGACCAGGTGTTGGATCCGGTCTGTTCGATCTTCGCAGTTGGGATGTGTGTTTGAGAAGCCCTGAACACGGGCGAACGCACCACCTACAAGTATTGAGGTATAGGCGTGGCAAGGCGTGGCAGGTGATATTTCCTTCCAAGCTGTGTTGTGGTTTTTTGGCCAGATCTTTTCCGGTGTTCTGCGTCTTCTTCCGGTCGCGAAGGTTCTTCACCCACTCCGGTCCAGAATGGCCGGCGTCTGTGCCGGGGCTCTCTTGCGACACCGACGGTCGACGACGGCTCCGCCACTTGGGATTCCTGGCGACGGTGCGACGGTCGACGGTGTCGGCGAGGCAATGGACTCCAGGCGCAATGGCAGGTCTACTTCAGTCCAGTTGGACTTTTGGGCACCCAAATGCGAGGAGAGACCCGAATCGCCAGGAGTCCGGGATCGCAAATCTGCAGGTTTAAGGAGGACTGCAGTTCGAAGCTTGCGGAAAATCGAAATTCCGTTGGCTGTATGTTTGAGGGTGAACCTTGAAAAATCCGCAGTTGTTGCTGTGCGCTTTCTTTTACTCAGGATGTTTATACAATGATAAGTTGCACATGTGCTGCGTCTGGTACAAGTTGTTGAGCTTGCTTTGGGCCACACATGTCAAGCAACTCTTTGTTGCTTCTTCACCTGTCGATGTGTTAGACTAGACAAGGTTCAGATGTGAGAAGGTAGCAAAACCGCTTGGCACTGGATCGAATTGGTTTGACGACACAAAGCGTGGGGAAAGCAAGGCGAACACCTTTGTGCGTGAATTGTGCTGGAATACTCATCCCATCTCAGCCCAAGGTCGCAGCAACTAAGCAACTCATCGACCAACAGCTACGAAATCCTACGAAGCTTTTTGCGCGTTGCAACGATGGAAATGGACGAATAGAAGAGGAAGGAATACACTGAATCCACCAAATTCAGCCAACAACATACCGCCCTCCACCCACGGGGTCTTGCAGCCATGCTTCGTCCGGTAGTTTCTCCAAGTTTCTGGTACCTGAGCTCAAGAGAACAAGCCTCTGGCTGATCCCTGTCTAGTCTAGCTGACCACCAGCTTCCAGCATATATTTGACTATACAGCTTGACTGACTTCCAACAGACTCCATGTTCCGATGCCGAATCTCGCTATGGCCATCGTCACTCGAGCGACCCATCGCTTCCGGACACGTTCCGTCGTCGACGCGTCGACGGGTTGGAGTGGTTTGGGGTCCGACCATATAGGGTTTATAGGGTCCGTTCCCCCCAGGGATTTGAGCGCATCGGCCATGAAGGTGACAGGGGCACCACTTTGGGCGCTCCTTTCAAGGCCCTGGCTTCGCTTCCGGGACACCTGGAACTCCAGTCACAACAGCCACTGGGAGACTTGACCATGTTTTTCAAAGAATCAGAGCCTCCATGTCTCCATGCCATGCGTTTTGGGTCCAACTCCACTGGTTTGTTTTCGAACGCTTTTGGGGGGGTCCCAGTGGGCGCAGTCGGGGCGGACTCATGGCATGACCAAAGACGAAAATGACAGGTGTCTTCCCCCAGGCTTCCAACAACCAGTGACTCGTTCTTGCGTGTTTTGATTTTACCACGAACGGAGCCAGGTCTTTCCCGTTTAAAGAAAGTGGTTGAACGGCTCACTCCCCTGAGTTTCTGCAGCTTCAGCTGCTCTTGCGGTGGAGCATGGAGCGGCGTCCGCAACCTCGGGTGGCACGGATGCCTCCGGAGGTGGATAGAATCGACCCTTGGATGGAGTTTGAGCATGGTTTGATCATGCCTTCACCATGATTGCTGGAAGGATTGGAAGACATCCATGAAATTCTTCGAACGATCTCGTGATCGGTGGAGGTGGTCGGTGTGGTTCTTGTTTGTTCTGGCTCTTCCCTGACGTCCGTTCGTTCGCAAAGAAGACCAGGAACCAGGAACCCAGGCTGACAGGCTGACCATCTCTTCAGCACATGAGCACATCTCTTCAGCACAAAGCCTCCAAGGAGCGGATGTAGTGGATATCTTCATCATACTGGGCCTGCGATGGCCGAAACTCGAGATCTCAGGCTCTTCATCCAAGGTCTCACGGTCTCACCAACAAAATCACAAACACTCCATGTATGGACGAAGAAGGCTGGAAAACACCACAAGGTGGGCATACTCGCCACTACTTTCAATGCCAATTCAGCTGAAAATCCCAGAAGTAGTCTTGTTCTTTGGCCAGAACATGGAATGTCAAGGAAATTAATGTACAATAATGGACAATGTACACCAAACATTCCACCTTCACCTGTTCGTTTTGAATGGGGTGCCCCCAATCCCCAATCTCCTGCAAAAAAAGATCCACTGGGTAGGAGGTCCAGAAGGGGACTCTATACCTGAATCGTCCAAATGTATGCCTTTTCATCCATAACAACAACCCAAAAGGCAGATATTTTGCATAGTTGGAAGATCCAGGAGAATGGAGTCTTCCTGCAGTTGGAGTCCTACACCAACCGCTTTCTGAGGTCAATGATGTCATTATGGCAGAAGAATCTTCCACACAGAGTGCAGGGCGCCATCAGGTTCATTTGTTCCAGGACATCCGATGGAAAACATCATAACAATCAACAACAAATGATTTGAACACTCAACATAAGCAAAACACACACACACATACACACACAATCACCATGAACTATAGAATCCAACATCATCCAACATCTGCCAATCAACCTAATGGGATCTGTCTCAAGATGAGGAAAACCCGACGCCAAAAGCCGAGCTGGCCGAACTTCTCTTCGTCAACGAGTTCCGAATGAGTTCCGGGGTTAATCCTTTGGGTTCTTTCTTCCCATCGTTCGACCTCAGATCCAAACCAGCCGGCATGTTTGGATACCAAGAAGGGACCTCAAGACATACCTCGATGTATCTGGACATCAGGATTTTCATTGGTGAAACAATGTGGAACATGGGATTACTACTTCAGCCAAAAATAAATCGCTATGTGAACGTCCTGGTGACGTCTTCTTTTGTCCTCGCTTTCTGCCCAAGGAACACGAGAACACGCGAGAACGGAGCGGAACGAGGCTCCTCCAAGGAGCGAAGTAAGCTCCGAAAGGTCTCCCCGGCATCCATGGGTTGTGAGGTGGGGGAGCTTCGGGTTCGTGGATGTTCGTGTTTTCTAGTTCGTTCCCCAACACCTGAGTTCCAGTAATGTCTTTAAGTCAACTCTGAGACTTGGTGTTGTTCTATGAAACACCAGACCAAAACTGCACACAGGCACTCATAGTCTGGTTCAGTGAACCTTAAGACCTGAAGTCTTTACGAGTTCGGAGTCTAATGCTGGCCATTTGGAGTGCTGAGAGCAAAGGCTGCGGGGAAGTCGTGGTGCAGCCCGGGTGACCGGGTCGTCAGGATGCACCTGTTGCACCGGCTTGGTTTTGATGCTCTGCCAGGCGTGGAGGGCTTAAGACGGTCCGCAGCAAATGCAAAAACAACACCTAGCGGTGATCGGAAACACACCCAAACACTCCAGGTGTTTTCTATATATGTGCCTACAACGCTTTCTCGCACAGCGACCTAACATAGCACCTTTGACACCCTGCTTCAGCGACCACACATGACGCGTCTTTTTGCATCACCTAACACTGCCGTTCTCACCACCAGAACCCCCGGCACCCCCGCCCACAT